CCTTGGGGGCACCGCGCCGTCCTCGGGTTGTCGAGCTGCGAAAGCACGCAAACGCCCCGCTCCCTCCCGCGGAGAGCAGCTGCTGCACCAGTGACCTGCTGAGGGACGAAAGTGCGGGTGGACTCTGAAGGATGTCGCGAGGGGTAAATGAAGTACTGCGTCGCAATGTGGAAGTGGAAGTGGCAGGTTAGTTGGGCTGAGGGAGGAAGGTCCGGCTTCCCGTATCTTATCTGACCTCTGTTGTTCCATTACGGCATCCGATGTACCGCTGTACCCATTCTTAGACGACCCCGGCGCGCCTGTGATTTGATGGTGGTGTACCTGACCAGGCCCGGCCTGACCTGCTGGAGACCTGCTGGCGGGGAGCACGTACCATGCAGCACCTACCTACTCCGTACCGGGGACCTGCTATGCTACCTACCTACCTGTCGCCATGACTGACCTCACTTCCTTCCCCCGTGCTCCTTCCCTTCGACTCATCAACAACAACCAAACCAAACTACGATAGCAAGCATTCCCGTGAACATACTCGTCACGTCACGTCCTGTCACGTCCGTCACGTCTTTCCTCTTCTGTTTCCTTCTATAGACTGTTTCTTCACTTGCGACCGTAATTACTTCCTCTCCATTTTGGCTGTGCCTGGAAAGAACGCCGCTCTTTACACTTCTGCTTCTTCCGTACAACCTTCACCAACGATACGAGGCACGACTTGCCTATTTTCTCCATTTGCCATATCGAGCCGTCGTTCAAACCGAAGCATATCCCAGCGTCTGCGGCACTTTCACCCTCCGAGGTCATCTGCCGCTTTTCTCGCCGCGTTCCGTCATCTCTAATAGACCCAACCAACCGTCGCTTAACCCGATACCCCTCATACCACCATCGAACCTCTTATCGCGATCCTCCACGACTCTCTATACATTCAAAGTACTCGTATTCTCTCAAAGGGTAGAGCTACCTTGCGGGAACGCAGGTTCTTGGAGCAGGAAACTGCTCCAACTGTGGCGCAACACCACCTGAATGCCGAGTAAGTTCGGACCTACTCCGCGCTTCTGACGCATACGCGCCAGGTTCAGCAGACGAACATCATACTCATGAATATTCTCAAAACAGGCTCTAAGAAGGACAGAAAGAACGCGAAAGATGGTGGAGTTAGCGCCGCGGTGACGAAACTCGCCGCGGGCAAGTTTGCGTACGTTCTTACTCCCCTCTCCTGAACCCCGCCATCAGCACCTTTGAGTCACTGCTGCCTTGTTCTGCATCTTTGCTTAAAACCTTTGTCGTGACAACTTCCACTGACATCTTCAAAGAAACGGCAGTCCTTCCAAGAGCCCCCCCTCCGATGCGTCGTCGCCTCCCGTCAACTCCCCCGACATCAGACCCATTGCTCAAGGCTCGTCACCCTACGATGGGCACCCCACCATCTCGCCGACCCTGGATGCCCTCTCCACGACGTCTGTGTCCGCGAGTACTGCTGCAAGTACAAACCACGAATGGGCAAGAGGAGGCCTTGCTGGTTCTCCGGGAAACTTGATTAGCCTCATGGGTGAATCTCCGCCTACCCAGCCGTCCTCCTACGAGGATTCCGGTCGCCTCCACCACGGGTGGGCTGTCCAGCGCCAGTCCTTGACTCCCCAAACTGCGTCGCCCTCCCCTCCCAACAGCATGCCAAATCATATGAAGCGCCCACTCAGCTTCCAAATGGATGCCCAGTATCCACTTGAGGCCTACCATCAACCGGCTGCAGCTGCAGCCTTTCGCCGTAGCTCCATGCAGTCGCAGTTGTCCCACGCAAGAGTTGGTTCTCACCCTCCACTTCCCCACCAACCGCAGCCGCATTTTTATGGCGCCCCGGATATCGATTTCGACATGGCCTCAAAAGCCGGCTTGAAGGCTGGTGACAAAGGCTACCATTTTGGCTTCGACAATCTGCCGTCTCCTCACACCGAGCTTGTTCCGGGATCGGACAACGTCGCACTGGCGGGGTACGAGGGTGGCCTGGAAGTCTACTCCGTGACCAAACGCGGCCTCGACCGTGTTGCCGGCCTCAAGGGACTTCGGGGTGGCGTGTACAACGCAAAGATTCTGCCTTGGTCCACTCCAAATGACCAGGCTGAGCTTGGCCCTCTGGTCGCCGTTGTTGTCCACGGTCCAGTTCTACCACAGACATCGCCAGAAATCGCCATTCAAACTGCAAATGAGACCATCGCTGAAGAGCGCGAAGTTCCTGGCAGCCCCCGAGCGGACGGCAGCCAGAAAGGAGGGCCCTCTGGGCGGTTCACCCCTGCGATCGAGTTCTACCAGACTTCCGTTGAGTTATACTCCCTGAAGACGGGGAAGCTTGTTGACGTACTTCTTCAAGCTCCAAAAGTGCCTCTTTCAACACCAGTGACGAGCCCAATCTTCAAGGCGCCACCTCCCACAGGCGCGTTCACCGTCAAGGCCGATGCTGGCAACATTGTTATAGCTTCAGGCGTGAGCGGAGAATGCTGGGTTTACCGACAAATTGTGGATGTTGTCGACAGTCCTGTTCGCTTCGGTTGCGTGGGAAAGCTTTGGACCAGCCTTCAACAACTCCCAAGAGGGGAAGTTGCGGAAGAAGCGGAGCGAAGACATTCGCCCGCACCGCCGCGTCCTAACCCTCAAACGCCGATTCTGTCGCTCAACGGCAAGTGGCTCGCCTACTGCCCTCCCGCCGCCAATTCACAGATCGCCCTTCGCGCACACGTACCGGTTCCCATCTTTGGCAAGGCTCCCGGGATTGCCTCGGTAACTTCGCCTGTGGTTCCTGGTGTTACCGGCGCAGTTGACTCTCCCATGGCAGAGAGCATGGTGAACAAGATCATGCGCGAGACCACGCAGGAATTGATCTCTGGTGCGAAATGGGTTGGCCAGCAAGGCTTGCAGGCCTGGAACTCGTACTGGAACAAAAGTGCGAACCAAACGCCGCCCCAACAGCCGAGATCGCCACCACTCGCAGCCCAGCAGTGGGCTGGTTCCTACCCTCCCCGTCACGATGCGCCTCAATTCCCGCCAACTCATGGTACGCCAGGCCAGGCGGTCACTAAGGATCCCGGTCTTGTCTCTATCCTGGACCTGGACAGTCTGCCAACTTCGGCCGTGTTGCATCCTCTGATCACGTTTGCTTCTCCTCTCGGATGTAGCTTCTTGTCATTCTCGCCGACGGGCCTGTCGCTGTTCACAGCAAGCGGCAAGGGCGACGTGCAAACCGCTTGGGACTTGATGTGCATACAATACACCAAGTCTTCCCCGCTTCAGGTACTGGCGTCTAACAGCGCGATGGGCCCGAGAGTACGTCAAGTCGCCCAGTTTTCGCGAATGACTGTGGCCCGAATCGTCGAAGTTGCATGGTCGAAGCCCAATGGAGAGCGAATCGCCATGGTCACTGAACGAGGAACTGTTCATCTTCTTGATATGCCATCGAGCGCGTTTACTTGGCCTCCCCCTCGCCGCCGCAAGGCAACGGAAGAGAATGGAGCTCCCGCGTCGGACGCCCCTAGCTCTGCTGTCTCCATTGCTTCTAGTGCCTTTGGTGCAGCCTATCATGCAGCCAGGCCTCTCATCACTCGGCCGCGTAGGAGCAGCTCAAATGCGCAAGGCGTGGCACACGGCAACTTTGTCGATTCTGCGAGTGTTGGTGGCAGGGCGATCGCTGCCAGCATTAGCCATTCCCTCGGCAAGACCGGTGTTGCCATCAACCAACTGCGTCACACAGGAGAAAACCGCGTGTCTCTGCCGCAAAGCCAATCGCTTCCCACAGCTTCATGCGTCGTATGGATTACTGGTAGAAAGTACCATACGCTTTACGTTGTGGGCGATGGTCTCGTCCGCTCTTACCCATCCAAAACCCGTCGCCCTGCACCGACGCCTCCAAAGCAGCGAATGCCACGAGGTAGTCGATACAAGGACTTCAAGGTGCCAGCGCTGCCAGATGATGGATTTGCCCCTGCTGTTAGACAGTTCATCGACTCAGATGAATATCTTGACTTGTCCGATCGAGAGATGGACGCTGGCAATACGTTGACTCTGGACCCTCGTGCTAGACCCCTGCATGCTGATCTGAGCGCCGAGGCATCGATCCCGCAAGCTGAGATAGAATCCAGCGCACCTTACCAGCCCTTCCATACCGACAGGCGAGTGTCTCTCTTCGAGTACAATGAACAGGCCTCGAAGCCGACTCCCTCGCTGGCTGCACTCATGGCAGAGACCAACCTCGATGAGCGACCCACGCCCAAGCAGAAGAAGCGGCAACAGCGCCCCCAGGTCTCATACACCCCGGTGGAGCCGAACACTTCCCAAGCATGGGCGTTTGGTCAGCCGCTCAACATGGTTCGGCTGGACGTTGGACACCACTCGGTTTCAGAAGATGAATTCAACATCTCGGATGATCACCGGGCGCTTCCGTTGTCTTCGATGGAGAGAGTCATGCATCGTGGGGAGAATGGTGACGAGATTGTTGTCACTACTCGGAGACGACGTGGAGCTCGTCATGCGGAGGATGAGGATGGCTTTTTCGAGGACGATTGTGAAGTCCTCGACTTTGCTGATCAGAGAGTTTGAGAAACAATGCAAGGGGCGTTTGGAGCCAGGTTAGACCAACAGTCATTCGCGCCATGATTTCATTACTGGATGGGGGAGGGGTCGGTATGTAAACACATTTGCTGGCCGATGCTCTAGGATCATGGGGGCGGATACTTGGCCGGTCGTGCCACTCACTCCTTTATTGGTCTTTTTTGGTATTCTTCTCTCTGGCATAGGGTAGTAGTCCTTAAACATATGCAGAGTAGGTAGCACTGCTCCGAGATTGGCCATGTGCTCAATTCTCCAATACAACCAGCTTTAGATACCCATTCCTGTATACAAGCGCGCAACACCCTTCGCTTGATGTTTGTGACTGCTTTGAGCGGAAGACATCCGATTGTAATAGATTGAAATCAGCCCTACAAGAGCCGCGACAGTCGTCCTGTAATGTTTGAGATCCTTTACGCCTTCTTCTTCGCGGCAGCCTTGGCCTTGGCGGCCTTCTTTCTGTTGCTTCGGATCATAACGGTGCCCAAGAAAGAGCCGACAACGGCGCAGCCGACGAGAATGAGGATGACGGGAATGCGGATGGCCCAGACGCGAGGAGGGAAGAAGTTCTGAAGCGGGTGGTCGTCATCGACGAAGGGCTGTGGCGGGGCGTGTTAGCGCACCTTGTGGTCTTGGTGGACGCATGGGGGAAAGGGCATCTACCATGAGCAGGGTCCAAATGGAGTAGTATGTGAAGATCACAGAGGCAGCCACGAGCATGGCGAGACCGACGAGTGTTCCAAGCTGGAGGAGGAGCAAAAGTTAGCCATGACAGTCCCTCGGTCATCTTGCGCTGCATCCCTTGTTGCGCAAGGTGGGACGCATGAACAGGTCTCCTGGGAAGGGTCGACGTACCATTGTCGTGTTTGGTAAAACGGAAGTAAAGGAGCGTGAGGAAGGAATTGACGGGTTGCGAGTGCGGCTGCCGGTGAGATAGTTGACAGGTAACCGGGTGGGAGAGGTATCGTGGGGGAAAAGGGAAGCGGTTAAGGGTCAATAGCTGGCTGGCCGATCGGGAAAATTGTCGTCGCGATTTCAGGGGATGAGGGCGCGCCTGGTGGACTGGACTGGACCTGTGCTAACAGAGGAGCTGCCACGGTTGACAATGCACTTCCACGCACGCTTGCTTGGGCGGGTCCCCCTGTCAGGAAGGCAAGCTCCAGCCGCAACTGGCTCGTGCGTCCTTCTCGATTAGGGGCGTTGCAAGTCCCCAGCCACAATTATGATTTTTAGGTACCTCTCTTGGGAAGCCTTCCATCCAGGCTGCGTCAAAGCATCCTTTCCCCAAGAAAAAAAAAGTTGCCAACAAGCAATCAGCGTGTGTCCGATCGCCCGCCCTTGCCTCAAAGCGTCGCGAGTTCCCTTCGAATCCGGGATCGATCTCTGGGACTTGGAAAGCAAAAGGCACGATGGCATCGGCAGACGTTGAGTCGCCGCGCCCAGAGCGCCGCGAGCGCGACGGCGACTCTGCCGACGAACGCGACATCAGCGACCGTCGACCACGCCACGATAACGATGGCGAGCGCCCACGCGATCGTGGTCGCGATCGAGCTCGCCCCGATAGCTACCGTCCAGCGCCCAAGGAACGTCGTCCGAGCCCGCCTGCGAAGACTGAGGAGGAGAAGCAGGCTATCGCGAAGGCCGAGTACGAGAAGCTCCTTTCGATGCGATCCGGTGGCACGTACATCCCGCCTGCTCGACTGAGGGCGCTCCAGGCTCAAATTACCGACAAGAGCTCGAAGGAATACCAGAGGTTGATGTGGGAGGCGCTGAAGAAGAGTATCAACGGTCTGATCAACAAGGTCAACTACTCCAACATCAAGCACATCGTCCCCGAGCTGTTTGGCGAGAACCTGATCAAAGGCCGCGGTCTTTTCTGCCGCTCCATTATGAAGGCGCAGGCAGCAAGTTTGCCGTTCACGCCCGTCTTCGCGGCTATGGCCGCCATCGTCAACACGAAGCTCCCAGCGGTCGGCGAACTCCTAGTGAAGCGCCTCATCATGTCCTTCCGCAAGGGCTTCAAGCGCAGCGACAAGGCTGTCTGCGTCTCCTCTACGACATTCCTGGCGCATCTCATCAACCACCAAGTCGTCCACGAGAGACTTGCTGGCCAAATGCTCCTGCTTCTCCTGCACAAGCCGACCGACGACAGTGTAGAGATTGCCGTCAACTTCTTCCGCGAGGTCGGACAACACTTGCAAGACATGCAGCCCGCGATTGCTATGGCGGTTTGGGACCAGTTGAGAAACGTGTTGCACGAGGCCGATATCGATAAGCGCGTGCAGTACATGATTGAGGTGCTCTTCCAGGTTCGTAAGGACAACTTCAAGGACAACCCGCCTATCAAGGAGGAGCTGGATCTGGTGGAAGAAGAGGATCAGATCACGCACATGGTCGATCTGGATGGCGAGATTGATGTTCAGGATAGTCTGAACATCTTCAAGTTCGACCCGCAGTGGGAAGAGCACGAGGAGGCTTACAAGAAGCTGAAGGCTGAGATTTTGGGAGAGGGCAGTGACTACGAGGATGATGACGACGAAGATGAGAGCTCAGAGGAGGAAGAGGACGAGGAGGAGAAGGCCATGGAGATCAAGGACCAGTCCAATACCGACTTGGTCAACCTCCGACGAACGATCTACCTCACGGTCATGTCGTCGATCGACCCCGAGGAAGCAGTCCACAAATTGCTCCGAGTCAACCTTCCCGCGGGACAGGAGCCAGAATTGCCCTCCATGATTGTGGAGATCTGCTCTCAGGAGAAGACATACTCCAAATTCCACGGTCTCATTGGAGAGCGCTTTGCTAAGCTCAACCGCTTATGGACTGGCCTTTTCGAGGACTCTTTCGTCGACTACTACAACAAGATCCATCGCTACGAGACGAATAGGCTGCGTAATATCGCGCGCTTCTTCGCTCACCTACTGGCTACCGATGCCATTGGCTGGCATGTCCTCTCCGCCATCCACCTCAACGAGGAAGAGACAACCAGCAGTTCCAGAATCTTCATCAAGATTCTTTTCCAGGACATTTCCGAGGAGATTGGCATGGCGAAGCTCCAAGTGCGCATGAAGGACGAGATCCTTCAACCCAGTTTCACCGGCTTGTTCCCAAGAGACAACGCACGCAACATTCGCTTTTCCATCAACTACTTCACCAGTATCGGCATGGGTGCCCTCACCGAAGCATCGCGCGAGTACCTTCAGAACATGCCCAAGCCGGCGTTGCCCGCCCCCGCAGCCGCCGACGAATCGGACTCGGAGTCGGTATCCAGCTACTCCTCATACACTGGCTCTTCGTACTCTTCACGGTCAAGATCAAGGTCAAGGTCTCCGAGACGCGTCACAGATCGCAGAAGCTCTGTGTCCAGATCTCCTTCACCTCGCGGACGAGGCCGCTCGTACAGTCGCAGCTCTTCACGATCTCGCTCATACAGTCGTTCGGTCACCCCTCCGCGCAGGGGACGCCGCGACGATTCGTACTCGGCCAGCCCACCCAGACGACGCGGTCGATCCGTCAGCTATTCACGATCTCCCTCTCCAGCCCGAAATGGCCCCAGAGATCGCAGTCTGAGCGGAAGTCCGCCGCCTCGTCGCGCCAAGAGAGATAGCCACTCAGCCAGCAGATCGCCTCCTCCGAGAAGAGGACGGTCCGCATCTTACTCTGCAAGCCCCCCGCCAGCCAGGGGTGCACCCCGCGGTCGGAGTCCCAAGCAGGACACGCGCCGTGCCGTCAGGCGAAACAGCTCATCGGTGAGCAGCGCGCCGCGGAAACGCGCCCGCTACGGCAGCCGTTCACCAAGCCGCTCGCCCAGCCGGTCCCCGAGTCGCGGGTCTTCGGTGGATTCACGATCCCGTTCGCCGGTTGACCGCAGAGGACCCAGAGATAGTCGGTCTCCACCACCCCGCGGTAGCGTCTCTCCGCCGCCGAGGGCGCGAAACGGTAGGCGAGACTTTTACTCGAGGTCACCAAGCCCGCCGCCCAGAAGACAGCCTGCGCCGAGAAGGGATTCGCCGGTGCGATCAAGCCCGGCCGGTGTGAAGCGGAGGAGACACAGCGACTCGATATCGAGGTCGAGAAGTCCACCGCCCGTAAAGAGGGGACGGAGAGGAGATTAGACAGGGCGGAAGTGTATGATGATGGAAATGGAAGAAGCCCTTTTGGGCCAGATTGAACTGTATAGCTAGCAGGACTTAGGGTCGGTGCTGTGATAATTGAATGGCGGTTTGCTGCTTTGGCAGCCTTACTACAACGTTGACTTTTTTGTATGATGATGATGCGACCTTGCTGGCGTCAAACTGCTGCGGTTGTGGCCATAGTCTCAGCCCTCTACACGCCTTGCTGCCGTGCCCTTCGGCATGACGTAATCACAAAGATTGGCTTGGTAGAGAGCTTATCATTCATTGCTAGCTAAAAAAGAAGATGCAATTGCTTTCAGAGGGTCGAATTGCACCGCAACTCATTCTCGGCTATGCCAATTCTCTTGCACTTTGACAACTGAACGACGACCGGCCAGTCGATTGCTATCTTCTTGCTGCCTACGGTTTGTCGATATTCTTGAATTGAGAAGAGGGTTTGTGTCTCATCTAGGAGGAATATGGGCCTGTACCATGTCGAATGTTAGATGCATGTATCAAAACTGCAATGCTCAAGTCTGCGCTTTCAGACAGTGAGCTTTCTAGGAACACATTCACATTAGGTAGTCTTTTTGGTAAGAGTTCTTGGAGAAATAACTTGAATCAACTTGAAGTGTCTTTCGGCTCTGCTACATAACTCTAGAGGGCTGTCTAACATCCGACTACAACTCACCTGGCATAGGCTTAGAAATACCCATGGATACCCACGAGTACCCATTACCCGTCACCCATGGGCCCGTGGGTAACCACGAATGGGCCTTTTCCCTCGTGGGTACCCATCAGGAAGCACCCAAGCTTGGGTATCCATGGGTACCCGTGGCACGGGTACTCCAAAAGCCCTACATCCGAGTTGAGGTAAGCATTTGGCAAGTTATTCTAGGGTATCTCAACGTGAAGAAGAAAGTCTTCAGCAAAGAAGAAGCCGTAGTATTATATGAAAGCTAACCAGTATCATCCAAGACAATCGCGTTGAACAGGACAAAACAAATGAGACAACTCTCTCTCTCCCAAATGGTGTTCCTTACATCAAATGCACTTCATCATTGCTTCCAGAGTTTGTACGGGTTTATCAGATATACATCTACCATGAGGCAGGGCCAGTCGTGAGCAGCCAGACACAATGCTTCCTAGCTAGTGCTACGCATCTTCCTTCTTGTCCGCCTTCAGAGGCTTGCGTCCATAAATGACGTAACCGTTCCAGTAGGCATGGATCTTTGGGTCCTGGATATCCCTTCTGGTCTGCGCGCACAGAACCAACGTTTCCTCTCTAGTCCAGCCCAAAGTGCGAGTAAAGTTGGCCAGTGCCAGGCCCTCCAAACCAGGCAAAAGCGATGCTTGCGTCCAGAGACCAATCTCCTTCAAGCGCCTGTCTTTCGGCCACGGCGAGATGGGGAACTTGAGAGGGATCTTGACCACATCTTCGAAGCCAGCCTCCCTCATAAGCCTATCGAAGGTGTGCGTTTTGCTGATCGTGCGACCGATCTCCTCACACGCCTCGGCGCCCATTGTCGTGTACTTGTAGATGGCCATGTCCTCGGTCATGCTTCCATCGTCACAGACTGCAGGCCACTCGCTATCCTGGATTTCCATCCAGCCACCGGGTTCAAGGTGGTTGTAGGCCTGCTCAATAGCTGCTTCCCAATCGGAGAAGCAGCCGATCATGTTTCGCGCGAGGACGAAGTCGAAGGGCTTGGTCCAAGTCCACTCCTTCTCAACATCATCAATCTCAAAAACGCAGTTCGGGGGAACATAGCCCGGCTGGATAGGGCTGAGGTCTACGCCAATAACCTCGGCGTCAGGGAACGCGTCAGCGTAGTCGAGGGCCCATATTCCTGTGCCAGTTCCAAGGTCCAGGACGCGCTTAGCGCCCTCGTTCTTCGGGCACATGCAGAATCTGTTGTCGAGAGTGACCATCCAGACATGGTTGACGATGTCGAGGCGCTCCTGCTCCAGATCATCGTTTGGCAGAATGTACTTGCCATCACTGAGGCGGTGGTACGTACGGCCGTTCTCACGGCGGTAGTCGAGAATCGTGGGGCGGAGCGAGGCCTGCGAGTCATCGGTCGTGGAGTAACCGTCGATCGAGACACCGTCTGCGTCTGGTTCGATCGGACCCGGCACATCGGGTTCGAGCTCAGGCTCGGACTCCACAGGAGACTGGGCTGCCACTGTTGCAGCGATCGGCGTCGATGGATCGGCCGTGGGAGCAGCCGTTGTGGAAGCCGTAGGAGCAGTCGTGGAAGTAGGAGGAGCAGTGGGTGCAGCGGCCGTGGCAGGGGCCGCAGTAGGGGCCCCAGAGGCGCTGGCCTCACTTTCTTGTTGTTGACCGGTCATTTTGACTTTCGCGTACCTGGATTTCGTCTAACCACCATTAGTTCCCGCTCGCGCTACAAAAGCGCAGGCTCGCCTTTTATCTGGGAGCAACGCGACGGAAGGGCTGGGACACCCCTCTTCGCAGGGCTATCCTCGTTTGAACCTATCCACTTCAATATGCGGCAGGCGGTTCGTATGCCACGGCCCCACTTGCCGTTGTTGGCCTCGACGTCGTTCCTTAGCGGCCGGGACGGCGTCCCGCCCCAATCGGACTTGCAGCAGAGCTCCACTGCTGCAGTTTGCTGTAGATTTTAGTTCCAACAGCATATTGCATTCACTCTTTTGGATCTGTCGCTCCGAGGGATTCGCTTCCGGCGGTTGGTGTGGTTGGTCGTCTTCTAAGATCTGCCTCGGGGACGGCCTTCCGCGCCGATGTCCATAGTTTTGGTAGGTTGAATGGGTGGTTGAAGAAACCAAACATTAGAAACGTTTTCACGGTGTGTTGTTGATCATATAATCCGACTAGGAGATTCATGTCGAAACCGGAAGACACTCTCGAAGAACCCGCGCAGTGTTTTAAACTTGTATTCAAGTATACCTAACTAGACATACATACATTTAGTCACGCACCCAGCATACTTGTTCTGTGATGTAAGCGACCTTGAGCTCTTGAGAACCCTTTGAGTGGCCCCGCAGAGACTTTACATAGGATGATGATAAGGTTAACATTTGCGATTTCTTAGCAAGCCCATTGCAAAAATTTCAATACCTTGAGAGAAATCTTGCCATATGGTTCGATTGCAGCCTAAATGATTTTCTAACTATTTAAGCGCCATGATTTCCCTAATTCCTCTTACGACTCAACACAAACACGCAACCACCAAGTCCATCAAACAAAAGTAACTGAGATAGTCATCTCGACAAAATGTCTTCTACAACACTCCCAAGGTAAGATCCTGAATCATCTTGATTCTTCATGCTAATCGTCATGCCACGACAGCTCTACCCAGTCTATACCCGTTACATTCAAAATCGGTTGCGCAGGCACCTTGTTTTATGTTCACAGTGAGCTTCTTGCAGCTCAATCTCCGTCACTAGAAAAGCTCGCGAAGGAACATGCAACGGAACAAGACTATGGCCCGGTCCGTTGGGGAGATGTTGACGAGGCGATATTCGGTCGCTTCGTAAGCTACATCTACACGGGTGACTACAAGGAGGCAAAAGTCGTCCCTCGTCATGGCATGGTTCCATATGATCAAAAAGACTCCCCGTCCGCGATATCTGAAACTTTGTCCCAGTCTACAGATTCATCGTGGGATCAACCTGCACAACACCAGCCGAACCAGCGACGGCGCAATCGCAAAAGGCCATGGAGTCAGTTTTTGAACCTGCACCCGGAACCGACACAGCCGGAGGAATTTGTTGATGGGAGGGGGGACCATACCGAGCTTTTCCTATCCAACGCGGAAATTTATGTTTTTGCTAAAAAGCACGACATTGAAAGTCTACAGGAACTGTCGCTGCGCAAGCTACGGGCAGCCCTTGAGGAACTTCTCCTAGATGAGTTCAATGACGAAGCCATCGGCGATGTCGCAGATCTTGTCAAGTATACCTACAAAGCTACGAAGCACCAGCAGGATGACAAGGAGCCGCTGAGACATCTGGTCACTCTGTACGTGGCTTGCAAGATAGATATTTTGTGGACATGGCAGAGTTTCCGGGACTTGGTTGAGAATAATGGTCAGCTTTCGAAAGGTCTCATCACTCACATGTTGGGCCGCCTCTGATCTTGGCAAAACCTGGCTGGATTTGAGTAATTAGTACTGTTCTCAAGATTATCAAGCTAAGAGCCAATGAAAGTCCATAGGCTAGACAACGGAACTCTTCGAAGGATCGATGATACTCAATCAAACTTACTACATGCACTAGTACCTGGATAGACATGTATGATCAGGCCCTAACCCTAACCCCTGTCACTTGTCTACCTTTTTCGCTTTCTTGGTTTAAACTTTTCGCCTCATAGGTATCATAACGATTACATCATACATGCAGTGCTTCTGAATAATCATTCGGTGGTTCTGAAATTCAATTCTCTAACCTTGTCTCTACTCGTGTTGTGCTACATCCCAACAACTTCCACAAAGCTGTTCATGATGAAGAAGGAAAGAAAAAGATAAATCAGACCAGACATTACCACAATACTTTGATTGAAAGAGCGCTAAGAAACCTGTTTCTGACGATACTTTGATTTTTTTCTAGTTTATGAAGTTCCTATGATGGAATATAAAAGTAAAATGCAACAGTGATCACGACGTTTATCAAAACAGCCACGCTGGTGAACCCCTTCTTTCCCAGTACATAAGCATCAACCTCGACTTCTGCTGTTGTTGGCTTGGAGAAGTGACTCGATTGAACCTTCCCATAGCCCGCCAGTATTGAATCAGTCATGACGGCAAAGGCGTGTTCCAGTCCAGACAATGTCGCCTCACTCTCTGAAACCAGACCCTGTGCGTTGAACGAGCTATTCCAGGCGGCAATGCTCGAGAGAAGGGCATCTCCAAGTACAGAACCATAGAAGCTCTGCAAGCTGTTTGACATCGAGTCAAGCTGTCTGACGGCGCTTCGCGTCAAGACGCGCTCTGGATCGATGTCTTGAACGTCAACACCGCTCATTGGAACGACACCGATGCTCTTATCTATGACATCGACTGTTACCTGTAACAACGTAGGCACAAAGTCCACTGTGCACTGCGTGGTGTTTAAAACTCGGTACTTTTCTCCTGCAGCGATGGAGATGTATCGTCGAGGTGACTGAGGGCTGTCGGCGACACCAATGGCGACGATGGAGTCTGAAGTTGCGCCAATGTACTCGGACCATTGAGCACTCCCCACAGAGTCGGGTAGGAACCCAGTGACGACAAAAGTTCTATGAGGATATTCTTTCCCAATCCGGAAGTTTGTGCTGCTGTTGTACAGACACCCAACCTGAGGGAGGTAGCCGACCTCCTCAAACCGGTATTTCCGGACCGACTTCTTGAGGCCGTTGTCTGTGATGCCCACCGATGAGGCAACTCCGTACATCCTTCCTTCAAAGATATAGTCTTTGTTATCGCGCTTGGGTTGCCTTGACGCAGATGGCTTGAATCCGATCAAAGATTTCAAAAGGTTTGGGCTGATGGAAGACGTGGACGTTCCGTCATTCGTGTCGGCCACATAGTTCTTTATTAACGTCGTGTTTGCGAAGGATGGGACAGCAATGCTGCCTGCAACAACCGCAGTACTTCTTGTCGGCATTATTACGCCAGTCCATAGTGCTGATGAGAATACGCCAAAGATAGACAAGATGACAATCCAAGACAATGACGTGGAAGATACATCTCTGCGTGTTCCAAGATTTCTGTGCGAGATTTCTCTCTTAGTATCGCTCCGTGGTATGATCGTATTGGCGAGAAAGCCCGAAAGTACATTGTTATGGATCAGATAGGCAATCGCAGAGACGTGTGATATGGTGATGGCGTAGGCGGCAAGGCGGGCGACGAGCTCAAAAGCAGCGCATTTTGAGATGTTGATGTGTAAAGCATTCAAAACACTCCCAGTCAGTTGAATTATTGGCCGGATGACAGAACATGTCGAATCATTTTCGGCCAAAGAAGATTCGTACCAGGCGGGGTCAAGAGCCCATCCGCGAGAGTCCGAGATAAGGAGCACCAGACTAAGAATTCCGGTGACACACAAACGTGCCGAGACGTTTTGTCTTCTCCAGAATCTCGCTATGGAGATCCGCCTTTGACTGAAAAGTGTGCTCATGTTGGTGGTTGCGAGCAGCTAGTCCAGTGAGTGCATCAAGCGTCGTGCGAATCGTTTGCGTCGCGGAACTGATGCTTGGAGGGTCTGCAAGACTGGCCCACAGGAAGCAGAATGTTGTTTAGGAGAGAATCAAAATGGCCCAGCCTTCTCCTGTTTGCAGGACGCTTTGTAGTTATGTCGTTGGTTCCGGGGTGCTGCATCTCTTGTTGGTGCTCGGACCCAATCAGAAACGTTGATTTGCCGCTCGAAGATGCAACCCCCTGACTGCGCCGCTCCGCTCTGGCGCGCGCCTCACCACTTGTAAGTCGTGTGGTTCTACTATGCTGCAAGTTTAAATCTTCGTATAATTTGATTCGATGCATTGATTTGGTGGAAGATACTGGTCTTGGAGAGGACTGGTGAAAGAGGACCGGCGAAGCGATTACTCCTCAACCTTGGTGACACAAATGAACTTGCGAATGACCTCTTTCTGCGCCGCACTGAACCCTGTCACGTAATGTAAAGAGTGGGATCATGAAGCAAGGGTTGTGTCTGAATTTAGGTAGACAGCCGTTGGTCTCCTTGGCACTTGCTTCAAGCATCAAAAAAGACGGGAATTGTGTTCAGTACCTACTCAGTTTAAACGTCTTCTTTGTTAGGCAAACTAAATTCTTCAATGCCAGAATCTGTGTCACAAAAGGGATGAGAAACTTCTGTGTTGGTATTGAGTGCGAAATGTCAAGTTGGTACAGCTTTCCTCGGTATGAATCCATGGTTGGACCTCATTTAACGTGCATGCTGCCAAGCATGAGAGCAGCAGCCCCCAGGCTTCAAATCGTGCTGATAGTACTTTGAGTGGAATTCCTGACGAGAATCTACCAATTGCAGTGATCACCGACGATGTGGCACAGCGACGAAGTCTGACCCGCATGCTCCAACAACTGGAAAAGCAGGGCAAGTTGGAGAATACCCAACATGGTTGACACTTTCATGGGCGTTGTTCTTTGCAATTGTTATGGATCTTGTGTTCCTTTGGGAAGGGAGTGAGGCACAGCCAAATTGTGTTGTTGGTGTGCCATGTTATGTTCATCCCCTTCTCTCTTTTGTTTCCTCCCTGTCTTCCATGCATTTGTATTCTTCATGTTTGTCGAGATTTGTCCAGTATCTAGTCATGAAACCTAGTTTCCGAGGCTCATCTGCAGCCTTTTACTTTTGGCTGATACATCACTTGACTACGCTCACTCAAGCGGCCAGTTTGGCCCCGTTCGAAGCGACATGGTCATCAGCAACATTCGGTCCCGATGGCCCGTGGCAAGCAGTTGAGGTCAACGTCGGCGGAAACTCAAAAGTCGCTCTGTATCCAGGACACACGTTCCAATCCCTCGTCATATCCACGGACTATTGCAAGCTCAATAGCTCCAACGGTTGCTGCGCATCGAAAGCAGCGACGTATAATCGAGCGCAAGCTTTCCAAGATGGTACCGGATCTGCGTCTGGAATTCAGTACAAACCACCGCTCCAGGATGGCTGGGATGGACGTGCGTGGCACCCTACCTACCTCCTGGGTGGATTCAATAGCGTTGAAGTCAACCGCAACTTCTGGACCGACACATCAGGTCGAGAATGTCAGTTTGACACTGGTGGAAAGCCAGATGATCGCGTATCCCGGCGGTACATGGTATCCTGCTTTTGTTGGGTGCCTAGGCACTGGGGCTGCGGCAACTGTCAATCAGTCCTTCACAACATCGTCGTATCCGATTAATGCCAGCCTGATACCTGGTGCGCTCTGGGTCAACGACAAAATACCTTCCAACTCGTTCAGCATGCATATTGGATCGGTCTCTTCGCAGATGGCGGGATCTCTCTGGTTTGGCGGATACGATCAGAACAGATTGATCGGGGACGTTTTGGTGGCAGCCGAGGACTTTGTTCGGAGTCCAATAACTCTCAAAGATATCGCTATTGATGTCATCCAAGGAGCTTCGCCGTTCGACTTCACCGCCAAGAGTGGTCTCTTAGCCGCAGGGAATACCTCTATCGCCAACGGGCTCCCGGTGGCTGTTGATGGATGTTCCCCTTACCTTACTTTACCAAGATCAACCTGCGACAACATTGTTGCGAATCTCCCGATTACTTTCAACACCGATCTCGGCTTGTATATCTGGGACACAGATTCTACAAGATATCGCCAAATCGTTTCGTCAGCATCAGCATTATCTTCCACCTTCCTCTCCGACTCGAACACGAAGACGACTACGGTCCGTGTGCCGTTTTACCACCTCAACTTGACGCTATCCGAACCCCTCGTCGATTCACCGATGCAATAATTTCCTTGCTTTACTGGCGGCCCTGGCACATACAACTTGGGTCGAGCGTTTCTCCAGGACGCGTTTCTCGGTGCAAATTGGGGGCAGTCTAAGTGGTGGCTTGGTCAGGCGCCAGGACCCAACATCCAGCTGTCTCCAAGCGTTGTTGAGATTACCGAAGATGATGTTTCCATCAAAAGTGGCAGTAATGATTGGGAACGATCGTGGGAGGGAGCTTGGAAGGCCTTGACCGAAGATGAGGCAAACGGCACCACTACCGTAGAACCTCCCGTGCAGTCTGGCGTGTCGAGCAATGACGGTCAGAAAGAAGACTCTGCTGTTCTTTCAACGGGAGCCAAGGTAGGCATCGGTTTGGGTTGTTCTGTGGCAGCGCTTGCTGGTCTTGGCGCGTTGGTCTTTTTCTACTATCGACGGAGGAAAGCAAGAGCTGTAACATTGGATCAAACGGTCATGGCTGAATATCAGAAGGGCCCTGCAGAGATGCATGGCTCTTCCCCTAGCGATATGACACCTATGAGTGAGCTCGAATCGCGGCCAGTGCCAAAACAAGCATCACATGATCCGGTGGAGTTGCCGTAGTATTGCTAGTAAGGCAGTAACTCTGGGATTTATCTTCTTCATCTCTTCATCCCTTCATCTTCTTTTTAACGTAATACTTCAGGTCGTCAGACTTC